TTGCCCGTTTTCTTCTCTGACCACTCCTGCAAACTCAGAGCACTCCTGTGAGCCCATCATCTTATTTCACATAAATTATCTGGTTTTACACAAGCCTTACTGAGCAGTCAGAACCTAACCAGTAGCTCAACGCTGACAGGAAGAATCTGGAGCAGCAGCCACCACGGAAACCTTGCTAAAAACCAATCACTGCAATCTCTGCAATCTCTTGCAACACTGAATGGTTAAACAGGAAAAGGCCCCCAAATCTTTCAAGATTTGACCTACAGGCTTGACGATAAGCACCAAATGTGTGTCTTCATTGAAGGCAAAATGTGTGTAATTAATAAAAGAAACAGTTTCACGTTTTTTCCTCCTAGTTTAAATAAAGTACAATTGGTACAAAAGCAACATTTGTAGTCAATGCAAAAGAGAACAGAGCACTGAAGACTGGAATTATGTCCTTTTGTGATTTAAGAGTCTATAAATTATGATACTCTGCTAAGGTCCTCCATTTAGAAATAGAGGTGATATTTAGCTATTATCAGTGTCGCAAAACCTCCAGACAAAAAAGCATTAGCCTTGATAGAAGTACTTTCACAGTAATGTTACAGAGCCATTAAAAGCTAACAATATTGAAATCACTGGACTATGATGGTCAGCTAGTCATAGAAATACTCAGAAATGAGAGAGGATTTTGCAGAATGAAGGAACATCATTAAAAAGTGAACATTTACAACACTTTTTTAGAATTTCTGCAGTTCTTGTATTTTATTTGAACCAGTATGAGGACATTTTCCTGTAGCTTCTCATGACAGCATTTACAGCTCATGGTGAAACCCCTTAATAAATGCTGCATCGACCAAATGAAGTTATGTGTACAGAGAAATTTGTACAAGTATAAAGGCAATTGTACAAGTATAAAAAAAAAAAAAAATTACTTACTGGTAAAATCTGTGCAGACATTTAAACATATCCTGATAATGGCAAGCTATATGAAGATTTCTTATCAGCTCAGTTTCACAATATGCTTGAATACGTTGTGCACCAAGATGGTCTCCTCTGATGGCTTCCATAAACACACTTGCACAGATAAGGTGCTTGTAAGTTTCTTTCATCCACTTGTGTGACTCAAAATGATTTTTCATGAAGTCCCACCGAGTTATGCACCAATATAAGCATTTAAAGCCAAGATCTGCAGAACTAGGCTCCTCAAGTTGCAAATGAGCTGCTGCTTCTCCAAACAACACTTCAGAGGAGTGAGGCATGAGGACTGTTGCTCTGACTGTGCTCATGTTACCAAGAGTAACCACTCGTATTTTGAAGCACGAGATACACCACCAATAAGACAGCCAATCCTCGCAGCATTTTCTTCAGGTTTGGGGTTTTTTTTTAATTTTCTTGGTTTGCTTCAACTCCTGGGCTATATAACTCACTTCCACTTTGGTCCATTTTAGGACAGCCTGAAGTTTCACATGCTGTATCTGTTTTAGGCATATGTGCCAGTTATATTCTGATCTAACTTCTGATGCAGCTGCTGGCCAGAGCTTGGGCCTGTATACCTCTGTCAGAAACACACCCAGCAGGCCAGCAATCTGGGCTTCAAAACCTCCAGGCATAGCAGCACACAATGTTGTGATTTCCTCAGGGAGATGCAGATTCATTGATGCAACATGTCGATGCTTCTTCTTAAATAATCTTCTGTAGTTGCTGGTAGGTAAATCTACAAGAGACAATAAACAAACCAGTTAAGATGCACTTTCTTATTTCAAATATCTTTTGTCAAAGCTGCAAGATACACACATTCAGATTCTGGCCACAGGGGTGTCTGCAGATCTTAAGACTACCCGAAAGGCACGAGGGTTTTGCCAGGGGAAAAAATGATGCCGCAAGTGATTACTCAAACTTCTTGTGGAAATTAAAACCTCACTACAGGTGAACATCACATCATTTTCTTTGCGCGGGAAGGTTGCAACAGCTCCAACTACGTGACCAGGCAGCACTAACCCCAGAGCAAAGCAGGCTGGGGAGAAAGCTGCTCGGCTAACACTGGGAGGTTCCCAGACCGCAGCCGTTCACCGGCGCACCCCGCAGCGCGGCCCCGCAACCACTCAGCAGGGCCCCATAACCACTGAGCGCGGCCCCGCAACCCC